GGGGTTTCTCTCTAGTATCATGTTGACCATTCCCCAATCAGGGCTTGCCTCTGTAGGGGTCCTACCGGATTCATATGGTTAGGTGAGGGTTGCCACCGATTTCCGCGGCCCGCCGGGGTGCCTGGGTGCCTTATCTCCCTATAGCCGCGTAGCCCTATAGCTTTATAGCCCTATAACCCCATAAGCCCTATAGCCCGATAGCCCTATGGCCCTATAGCCTTATAGCGAAAGTGCGCCAGTGGACCTCCCTGAATACACTAAAGGGGGGGGGGGTCCAGAACCCGAAATGGAACGAATGACAACCGACTAGTCCCAATTCCAACCGTTCGGAGCGAATTGCAACCAGAATCGAGACCAATTCCAACCACAAATGAGACCAATTCCAACCCAACCAAAAATGAGACCAATTGCAACCACGGATGGGATCTTCGGAATTCCTCCGGATCCCTTCGAATTCTTCGGAAGTCCTCAGGACTCTTTAGGACTCCTTCGAAATTCCTTCGGATTCCTTCGGAATTCCTCAGGATTCTTTAGGACTCCTTCGGAATTCCTTGGGATTCCTTTGGAATTCCTTCGGATTCCTTCGGAATTCCTTAGGAATCCTTTGGATTTCCTCAGGAATCCTTCGGAATTCCTTCGGATTCCTTCGGAATTCTTTGGAATTCCTTTGGATTCCTCCTTCGGAATTCCTTTGGATTCCTCCTTCGGAATTCCTTTTGGATTCCTCCTTCGGAATTCCTTTTGAATTCCTCCTTCGGAATTCCTCAGGATTCCTTCGGATTCTTCGGAATTCATCAGCCTGCCTTCTGATTCTTCAAAATGTCTTCGGAATTCCACTACTACCACTACTACTGCTACTCCTACTCCTACTACTACTACTACTACTACTACTACTACTACTACTACTACTACTACTACGACTACTACTACGACTACGACTACGACTACGACTACGACTACGACTACTACTACTAGAACTACTACTACTACTACTACTACTACTACTACTACTACTACTACTACTACTACTACTACTACTACTACTACTACTACTACTACTACTACTACTACTACTACTACTACTACTACTACTACTACTACTACTACTACTACTACTACTACTACTACTACTAATACTACTCTACTACTACTACTCCTACTACTACTACTACTACTACTACCACCACTTCTACTACTACTACTACTACTACTACTACTACTACTACTACTACTACTACTACTACTACTACGACTACTACTACTACTACTACTACTACTACTACTACCACTAATACTACTACTGCTACTGCTACTACTACTACTACTACTACTACTACTACTACTACTACTACTACTGCTACTACTACGACTACTACACTTCACTCGTACTACTTCACTCATACTACTACTATACTTGCTACTACTACTGTTCTTACTTCCTACTACTACTACTACTACTACTTAATACGTACTACTTACTACTTATTACTTACTACTACTTACTACTACTTACTACTACTACTACTACTACTACTACTACTACTACTACTACTACTACTACTACTACTACTACTACTACTAGTACTAGGAGGATCCATTTTGCATATTTTTTGAATCGATGCAATTCGAACAGTTTTTACTTACGTTTCGGCGCCCTCTTGCTCATCTTAACGTAGTGCTCGTGCGCAGACCAAAAACTCAGACCAATTCCAACTCGAGCACGCATGTTGGCTTCCAGATCCTCTGCGTTGGCATAAGGGGTGTCACTTGGTCTTCGCAGTCGTCTTGGGCTTCTGTACAATTAAAATCTTATTGTGGGGCTATCCCAAGATGGTTGGGATTGGGCCCAGTTTGCTTTTCGCACTGGTTGGGATTGGTCCCAGTTGGTTGGGATTGGGCCCAGTGGGTTGGGATTGGGCCCACATGGCCGACCCCCCCCCCTTCCCCCTTCAAGGGGGGGGGTGGTCCGACCCCCCCCCCCCCTCCCCCCTTTAGGGGGGGGAAGGGGGGGGGCGGTCCAGACCCCCCCCTCCCCCCCTCACCCCCTTGGCGTTGGAAAGGGGGGGGGGGTTCGGACCCCCCCCTGTGTAGGGAGTACGGTGTTGGGAGTAGGGAGTGGTGAGTAGTGAGTAGTCAGTTAGTGTTAGTGCGTAGTGAGTAGTGAGCGAGTAGGGAGTAGTGAGTAGTGAATAGTGAGTAGTGCGTACTGATAAGTGAGTAGCGAGTGGCGAGTAGTGAGTAGTGAGTAGTGAGTAGCGAGTAGCGAGTAGTGAGTACTGAGTAGGGGGTAGGGAGTAATCAGTAGTGGGTAGTGAGTTAGTGCGTACTGAATATGGGTGGCGAGTAGTGATTAGCGAGTAGTGAGTAGTGTGTAGTGCGTAGTGCGTAGTGAGTAGTGAGTAGTGAGTAGTGAGTAGTGAGTAGCAAGTAGTAAGTAGTGAGTAGTGAGTAGTGAGTATTGAGTAGTACGTAGTGCGTAATGAGTAGTGAGTAGTGATGAATAGAGAGTAGTGGGTAGTAGCAGTGGGTTGTGAGTAGTGAGTAGCGAGTAGGGAGTAGCGAGTAGTGAGTAGTGAGGAGCGAGTAGGGCGTAGTGTGTAGTGAGTACTGAGTAGAGAGTAGTCAGTAGTGAGTGGTGGGGAAGTGATTAGTGAGTAACGAGTAGGGAGTAGCGAGTAGTGAGCAGGGAGTAGGGAGTAGGGAGTCGTGAGCAGTGAGTAGTACGAAGTGGGTAGTGAATAGCGGGTAGTGAGTCGCGATTGGTGAGTCGTGGGTAGTGGGTAGTGAGTCGTGGCTAGTGGCTAGTGAGTTGTGACTAGTGACTAGAGACTATGTAGTGACTAGTCAGTAGGGAGTAGTAAGTAGTGAGTAGTGAATAGTGAATAGCTGAGAGTGGGTAGTGAGTATTGAGTAGCGAGTATGGGAGTAGCGAGTAGTGAGTACCGAGTACTGTGTAGTCAGTATTGTGTAGGGAGTAGGGAGTAGCGAGTAGCGAGTAGTGGGTAGTGAGTAGAGATTTGTGGGCAATGAGTCGTTAGTAGTGAGTAGTGAGTAGTGGATAGTGGGTAGTGGGTAAGTAGTAGAGAGTAGTGATTAATGAGTAGTGAGCAGTGAGTAGTGAGTACTGAGTAGAGAGTTGTCAGTAGTGAGTGGTGGGGAAGTGATTAGTGAGTAACGAGTAGGGAGTAGCGAGTAGGGAGTAGGGAGTAGGGAGTAGGGAGTAGGGAGTCGTGAGCAGTGAGTAGTAAGAAGTGGGTAGTGAATAGCGGGTAGTGAGTAGCGATTGGTGAGTCGTGGGTAGTGGGTAGTGAGTCGTGGCTAGTGACTAGTGAGTTGTGACTAGTGACTAGAGACTATGTAGTGCCTAGTGAGTAGGGAGTAGTAGGTAGTGAGTAGTGAATAGTGAATAGCGGGGAGTGGGTAGTGAGTATTGAGTAGCGAGTATGGGAGTAGCGAGTAGTGAGTACCGAGTACTGTGTAGTCAGTATTGTGTAGGGAGTAGGGAGTAGCGAGTAGCGAGTAGTGGGTAGTGAGTAGAGATTTGTGGGCAATGAGTCGTTAGTGTAGTGAGTAGTGAGTAGTGGATAGTGGGTAATGAGTAGTGAGTAGTGATTAATGAGTAGTCAATAGGGAGTAGTGAGTAGTGCTTAGTGAGTAGTGAGTATTGAGAAGTGGGTAGTGCGGAGTGAGCAGTGAGTAGTGAGTAGGGAGGAGGGAGTAGTGAGTAGGGAGTAGTGAGTAGCGAGTAGTGGGTGGTGGATAGTGAGTAGTGGATAGTGAGTAGTGAGCCGTGAGTAGTGAGTAGGGGGTAGTGAGAAGTGAGTAGCGAATAGCGAGTAGTCAGAAGTGGGTAGTGAGTAATGAGTAGTGAGTGCTCGTTGGGGCTGTGGTTAGTGGTAGGGGTTTGGGTTAGGGTGAGGAGTAGGGGTAGTGGTGGCGGGGGTCGGGGTCGGGTTCCGGAGTCAGGGGGGGGGGGGGGGGGAGGGGGGGGGGAGACGGGGGGGGGGGAGGGGTCCCCGACGACGGAATCGGGGAAGGGGGGGGGAGGGGGGGGGTTCCCCGACGACGGATCGGGGAAGGGGGGGGGGGGGTTCCTAAACCCCCCCCCCCCCCCCTTGGGGAGATCAGCGGCGCACCCTCCTTTATAGCCCTAGAGCCCTGGAACCCTATAGCCCTATAGCCGTATGGACCTGTTGCCCAATAGCACTATAGCACTATAGCAGAAGAGCCCTATAGGCCTATACCCCTAAATCCATATAGCCCTCTAGCTCTGTAGCCTTATGCCCTATAGCCCAAAAGTCCTGTAGCCCTACAGCTCTACATGCCTATAGCCCAATATCACTACGGCCCCTATAGCCCTGTATCCCTATAGCCCTATAGCCCTGTATCCCCAGAGCCCTGTCGACTCACCAGAGCCCTATAGCTCCAGAGTAGCCCCATGGCCCTATAGCCCTATATATTCACCAGACCCCTATAGCCCCAGAGTAGGTCTGTAGACTCACCAGAGCCCTATAGCCCTGTATTCCCAAACCCCTGTATCCCCAGAGCCCTATAGCCCCAGAGTAGCCCTATGGCCTATAGCCCCAGAGCCCCAAAGCCCCATAGCCCCATAGCCCTATCGCGCTACAGCCCTATAGCCATATGGCCCTACAACCCTATAGCCCTATAGCGCTATAGACCTATAGCCCTATGGCCCTACAGCCCTATAGTTTCATAGCCTTACAGCCCCATCGCCCTACAGCCCAATAGCCCCATAGCCCTATAGCCCGATACCATTTTTGAGTATGTCTTGATGTTTTAATTGTCTTGCAACATCCGCCTGTAGAAGGACATGCCCGATCAGATGATAGAGCCTGTAGGAGCACCGCACGGCACTGGCAGAGACGCGAGCGCGTGTTCCCGCAAGCCCTCCAGGCGGAGACTCCGGCGAAGCCCCGGGGCCGTCCGCGGCGTGCCTCAGTGTTGGGGTCGTGCTGGCCCCAGTGGCAGCGGCCGCCAAGGCGGGATGGGGAGGGAAGAGGGAGGAGGAGGGAGAAGGGAGGAGGGAGGAGGGAGGAGGGAGAAGGGAGGAGGGAAGAGGGAGGAGGGAGGAGGGAGGGGAGGAGGGAGGAGGAGGAGGAGATGAGAGAGGAGGGAGGAGGAGGGAGGGAGGAGGAGGGAGGGAGGAGGGAGGAGGGAGGAGGAGGAAGAGGGAGGAAGGAGGGAAGGAGGAGGGAGGAGAGGGAGGAAGGGAGGAGGGAGGAGGGAGGAAGGAGGGAGGAGGGAGGAGGGAGGGGGGAGGGAGGGAGGGAGGGAGGGAGGGAGGGAGGGAGGAGGGAGGGAGGAAGGGAGGAAGGGAGGAAGGGAGGAGGAGGAGGAGGGGAGGGAGGCTTCAATTGCCTTTAATTCGAGAGAGAGAGAGAGAGACAGGAGACATGATGATGATGATGATGATGATGATGATGATGATGATGATGATGATGATGATGATGATGATGATGATGATGATGGTGGTGATGGTGATGGTGGATGGTGATGGTGATGGTGATGATGGTGATGGTGATGGGTGCTGGTGATGATGATGATGATGAGGAGGAGGAGGAGGAGGAGGAGGAGGATGAGGATGAGGATGAGGATGAGGATGAGGATGAGGCATAACAATTGCTTGTGCCCGGGTGTGCCGGGTGTGCCGGGTGCGCTCGGCGCCGGGTGCGCCGGGTGTCCCGGGTGCACTCGGCGCCGGGTGCCCGGCCGCCGGGTGTGCCGGGTGTGCTGGGTGCGCTCGGCGCCGGGTGCGCCGGGTGTCCCGGGTGCACTCGGCGCTGGGTGCAAGGCCGCCGGGTGCGCCGGGTGCGCCGGGTGCACTCGGCGCCGGGTGCGCTCGGCGCCGGGTGCGCCGGGTGTCCCGGGTGCACTCGGCGCCGGGTGCGCCGGGTGCGCCAGGTGCACTCGGCGCCGGGTGCGCTCGATGCCGGGTGCGCCGGGTGTCCCGGGTGCACTCGGCGCCAGGTGCCGGGCCGCCGGGTGTACCGGGCTCGACGGGTGCACTCGGCGCTGGGTGCGCTCGGTGCGGAGGGTGCGCCACGCGCGTCGGGTTCGCTCGGCGCCGGGTGCGTTCGGTGCGCCGGGTGTTATGCTGGGCGCTCCGGGTCTGCCACGAATCGTGAACGCCACGCCCGCAGAGCGCCTGTCTTTCAAATGTGCGCGCCCACTTGTGAACACAAACAATCTGTGAGGACTTACGTATACAAATGGGGACATGGGACGGGAAAATGCATGGCAATATCGTTACACATCCTCCTCATTCTTACTCCTTATTTGTACATACTCCGACTCTCCCCTCTGTCTGGCCGATGGCGGTTGCATCTGGGCTCTCCCATCCAGACTGTGTGACATCAGTGCAAAATGCCCGTCTTTCCTCCCAACATGGATTGTCTTGTCGTCGACGATGCGACTGCGTGGCAGGAATGGGACGCGGCGCGCATCGCGCGCGGACGTCAATCTGGGCCCTCCCATCCTGACTGTCAAAACTCAATACAAAGTCCCCGCTTTTCCTTTCAACATGGCCTGTCTTGTCGTCGGCAATGCGAATTGCGGCCTCCTGAAGCCTCCTGGAGCCCCCTGGAGCTTCCCACCACCTCCTGAGGCCTCCTGAAGCCTCCTGGGGCCTCCTGAAGCTTCCTGGGGCCTCCTGGGGCATCCTCGGTTCGTGCTGAAGTGCCAGCGCATCCATTGAAACGGGCGACGACTTCCCCATCGGTACCCACCATGGCGGCTTCATCAGCTGTGGCACACCACCTTGACGATTGATTTCGGTTACCAATTGCGCCATCACTGTTTCTTATGTTGTGGGAGGGCGGGTGGGAATCACGGTGGGAATGTGCATGCCATGATTGACTCGCTCGAACTGGCTAGCTGGATCGTCCTTGTACTCCTGGTCCTGATCCTCCTCTCTTGCGCCCTGCGCGAAGCCAGCATGCCAGAGCTGCCTAGTACAGGTGCGCTGAGGCCGTAGGGTATAGATCGGGTACCAAAACTGCCAGAGAGCGCCCGCATCTAAGCGGTCGGGGGCCAAAACTGCCGGAAAGCGCCCCGCATCCTGGCATCCCGACGGGCACCTGGCGCAGGCGTGGGCGGCTCGATTCACCCATGCTCTCATTCGACTACGCTCCACTCAAAATCTACCACTCTCCCGGGGCAGGGCTGGGGCGCGCCGGTGCCGCGCCGCGGCCTGCCGCGCCGGCGGGCGTCGGCGCTGTGCCGCTGGCCGTCGCCGCCGCATCGGCCCCTCCCGCGCCGCCGGGCATTCCTCCTGCTACTCCGCCCGCCGCCGCCGTCGCGCCCGGGCCGCGCGGGCCCCCCGCTGCCGCGCGGCTCGCGGAGCGCTGGCGGAGGCAGGCGGAGCTCTCCTCTTCCTGGTCTCCTGTGCCCCAATCGCACTCGTGCACGCCTGCAAGGAAACGCCGCACAGCTTCATCAGGCGGTTGTGGAATGGCAGGTGGAGGTCGCGGCGGTCGGGCGGCGGCAGCTTCAAGTGGATCCGCGGGGCGCCCGGCTGGTCCTCCGCGCTCGAGGCTCGAGCCGTCGTCGCACGTGCCAATGTGATACTGGCTGAGCCCCGCCTGCATGACCGCCTTCCAATTGTTCTGCCGGAGGGCGATTGTTCTCCCGCGGGCGCCTGGCTCCTGGCTCGGCAGGGTCTTCCGGATGGAGCCACGCACATTCGAACAGAAAACAATGGGTTCTCCTCGCAAAAATTGTTTTCTTCATAATCTCCCTGTCGGTGAGGAACACATCGCCGTGCTCCTGCATCTGCACCGAGGCGCCGTCCTGAGGGAAGCCGATCAACGACGCGCAGTCCCACCCCATGTCACACCCCCTCTGAATCCATCGAAGCTTTTTCAAGCTGGGCGAGGCCCCTCCACCCTGGCTCGAAGCCCCCTTGCCATTGCCCACGCCGACCCCACGCAGCGCAGACGCCATCTCTGGTCCTCGCCGTGCCCCTCATCCATGGAGGGGGCCTCCGGGTCGCCTGGCATCAGGAAATGGGCGTCTGCGTCCGCGCCGCCCCCCTCGGCCGCGGCCGCCGCCGCCGGCGCCCTTGCGGCGTTCCCCGCGCCGTCGTTGGCCACGCTCGCCAGCGGCGGCCCCTCCTCCTCCGCGGCCGACGCGCCGCCGTGGCTGGCTTGATCGCCCAGCCCGCTGGCGCGGTGGCCGCCGCCACCCTCGTCATCGACGCCGCCGCCCGCTGAGCCGCCGCCGACGTCGGAACCTGCCATGCGGAACCGCAACTTTGATAAGGGGCCTTCCAGATAATGTCTTCCCCCCGTGTCTGCCCCGATTGCCCTTTGCCCCGCGCCTTCCCCGGTTGCCGTGGCCCGTGGCATGGCGCTGCTCGTGGGCGAGCCCCGAGAATCAAGGGCCCGCGGCCCGCGGTTCCCTTTGGCATGAAGTATCCCAGTGTGACCCTACCTAGGAGTTGGAGCATTGAGGAAAGCAACATCTACATCTACACCGACAGTCACATGTACATCTACTCCTGCATTTACATCTACATCAACATCAACAGCGGGACTCACATTTACATCTACACAGAGACCTACACCTACATCTACATCTACGTCTACATCTACATCTACATCTACATCTACACCTACATCCACACCTACACCTACACCTACACCTACATCTCAATGCTATGCTATGCTATGGTATGATAGTATGCTCTGCTCTGCTAGGTTATGCTATGTTACGATGTGATATGATACTATGCGATCTGCCGACATCTCAATGCTTTGCTAGGCTATGATATGCTATGTGATGCTGCACTATGTTATGCTATGATATGATGTGTTATGCTGCGCTAGGTTATGCTATGTTATGAAATGCTATGCGGTGATATGAAATTTTATGTTGCGATGTGCTGTGGTAAGCAATGATATGATATGCTATGCTATGTTATGCTATGCTGCGCTATGTTGTGCTATGCTATGTTACGATATGCTGAGCTATGCTATGATATGCTTGGCTGTGCTTGGCTATGCTATGCTATGCTGTGCGAATGCTGCGCTGCACTATACTGCGCTAAGCTAAGCTAGGGTAAGCTGAGCTATGCTGAGCTAAGCCAAGCTAAGCTGGGCTAGGCTAAGCTAAGCTAAGCCAAGCCAAGCTAAACTAAGCTAGGCTAAGCTAAGACGAAATAGGCTAAGCTAAGTTAAGCTAAGCTAAGCTAAGCTAAGCTAAGCTAGTCTAAGCTAAAGCCACGCTAGGTTGGGCAGAGCTAAGCTAAGCTAAGCTAAGCTAAGATGAGATAAGCTGAGCTAAGCTTAGCTTAGCTTAGCTAAACTGGGTGAACCCAGGGGGCGCAACTGGGGGAACCGCGGGCCGGATGCCAGGGGAACCGCCCGGAGCGAGCCCCAGTGCCCGGCCCTTTAAGCACATAGAGCAAGAACCCTTCTAGGAAGAGCCTAGTTAGGGAACAATTTTGACTTGATTCCACGGTCGGCCTGGGAGGGCGCGCCGCGGCTGAGCCTGGGTCAAGGCCCACTGGCCCCACTCGTCGCCGACCGCGCCGACCCGGACTGCGCCGGCAGCCCTGCGGCTGGCGGCGCCCCGCGCGGTCCTCTCTCTCTCTTTCTCTCTCTCTCTCTCTCTCTCTCTCTCTCTCTCTCTCTCTCTCTCTCTCTCTCTCCCCACGCACACCTCCTGGCTCTCGCGCCCTTCCTCCAGGGTGATGCGAACGCCGTGGAAGACCTCGAGAGCCCCGCAACAAAACGAATGAAAAAAAAACACCTGAAGGGGGCCCACGCAGCCGACTGCATGCTGGAACCACGGGCCGGGATATCTCCAAGTCCCCCCCGCCTGGGCGGGTCCGCCAACGCCCCCGTTCGCGCGGTGCTGATTCCCAGGGCCCCGAGACCTCTAGGATGTCCCACGCCCGGACGACGTGGCACTCCATCACCTTGGCCTCTCCACCCATCGGCGCCTCGCCAACCGCGATCTCCAGAATGAGCAGCGCCAC